TGCATGTTGTTTACGTGCAGTATTTGCACTAATATTCCAGCATTTAAAATAGAGTGAAATGTATTTTTTATATATATATATATATTTAAAGTTTGTCACAGTACTGCCACCTACCTTTACTTTTAACATAGAAGCGTGAAGGTGTTTTAGTTGAGTCTTTTCTCAGAAAATCCTAAGAGATCCTTTTCACTTATGATGTTGACAGTAAAATCACCAGTTTTGGGGGTTTTTGGGTTTTGTTTGTTTGTTTTGGGGGGTAGGAAGGGTATTTCTCGGTCAGGAAAGTTGAGGTAAAGCAATTTCCTTAAAACGTGCTTTATTAAACTGATTACATATTGGATCCATATCTGTGGGCAGCTGCAATGGGTTTTGTCAACAGAAATCAATTCTAAATGGTCAACATGCTTAACATGATAGTGCAGATATTTGGCAGCTTCAGGACTGGTTTTGAGGTTATTGCACAAGTTGATCAGTATCAACCATTATATTCAATTTTCTGTTCCTGTTTGCTGAAGCTGTGTATGTTCTTCTTTCTAATATCCTGTAAGATTTTTTATACCAGGGTTTCTGAGAATGCTGGATGGTCAATTGCCTTTACCTTGGCACAGCACCGAATCCAGATACATCCTCTTTTGTTGTTGATGGCTTCATGATGATTTATTAGTGTGCCCCTTCCCGGGAAATCATTGTCAAGCTACTTGTTTTTGAAATGACTTTTCTGGACAGGGATAAACATAGTGCTATTTTAAAAGTGTCTGTCTAGAAACTGCAAACCCATTGATTTAGATACTGGTATGGCCTAGCTTGGGAGCTCAGCATGTCAGAGCCTTGGTATTATTGTCAACCTGAAACCAAATAAAAGTTCTAGTTCAGGAAAATTGTGTTCAGATGTAAAGATGTACTTCAGTGTTCTTCTGAATTGGGGAGGGTTTACTATGGTATTTCAGAGTCAGTCAAGGTCTAACAGAAGACGTTGGTTTGATTGCATGTTGTGTAAATCTCTCTTGTTTAAATGTAATCACATTCAGGGCTTTTCCCCCCTTTCAGTTGTCTGTTAGGGAATAGTCGCAAAGAGGGAAGAGAGGATTTATAGCTACTGTAGTAATAGGAAATATTTATTTTGTCTATGAACTTCCTTGAAAAACACCTCCCAAAGTTGTGATTGTGCCAGGTATCTAGATGAGCCCCGTGACAGAGAGAGTTAAGGCTGATGACAGAGAGAAGGTGACTCTGGAGACCTAGACCAGGCTCAAAGCTGGAAAGGTCACACTGGTGTACAGAATGCAAAGTGGGGATCGTTTGCCCTATGCAGGGACCCAATGCATACTGTTTCCAGTACTGTGTCTTGAGAGAGGTGGTAAAGAAGGGGCCTCAGCACTTTGTTTGGAGCCTGCCTTGCCTTTGTGGTACCCGTCCTGTCTCTGTAGCTCTTTGAGCAGGGATCTTCTATCCCATTTTTTTTTGTATCACTTAGCATAAAGGAGTTAATTCTTGGTTGGTTCCTCAATAGGGATGAAAAAAAAAATCAGTGATGATGAATTATTGTGCACCCACTGAGGTACAGGCATTTATACCAACTCAAGATACAGTCCACTGCATTTAAGGGCAAAGTGCCATTTAAAGTCATTTTATTTCCAACTAAGTACACCTATATGGGGAAAAAAAATGTGCCTGCACTAACAATTTTTAAATAGAAACAAAGGTGAAATAAGTTATATTCTCTGCTCATTATTTTTAGATTTGCTAACCTAGCATAATTTCATTTTCATTATTAACTTTTAAAGGGAGTACTATGATCTTTTTAACACAACATCTCTAATTAATTTTCTTACAAATCTAATTCAAATTTAAATACTTTGTGAGACAAGAATGTGCAATCATTCCAATGATTAATATTCAGAAACACAAGTAAATGTGCCTTGCAGAAGGGAACATGAGATTTCAGTAGACCTGTCATAATACACATTTTGACCTCAGTGGCTGCGTGTCTGAAATCTTGGTGAATGGAAAGAGCAGTGTTAAATAGTGGGTTAAGCGAAGCTGCCTATTGAATCTCTGTTCTGCAAGCGCAAGTGTAGAACACACCCCCTAAATGAAGATACCTGTTGACCGGGTGTGTGAAGGGTGACCAACCTTTCCATTAAATGCGTTACAGGTGAAGTTTAAAATTGTTACGTCTGTTCAGATACACAATGAAGTCTGAAATAAAACCTTAATGCTTTTTATTTTAAAAGTGTTTTTACAAATATTTTTATTGTGCTACAGCAGCCAGAAGCTTCAGGGTCAGAGATCGACTGATACAGTCACACTTAGGATCAAAAGTAAATACTGTTAACTATGAGTGGGCTATTGTCTAACTTTGTGGTGGAACAAGGAGTTGAGTGGCATAGATCATGTATTTTAATTAAAGAGCTTAGGGATTTCTTGACACTTAAACACAGAAAATCAGAATATCTTTGCGTTTTTGTCCTTTGCATTTTGTGTGTATGTGTGTTGCCTGAAACTTTGATTACCTCATTCCTTTGTAGTCATGAGACACAGACAACCTGCTGGGATCATCCTAAAATGACCGATCTCTTCCAGTCCCTAGGTGAGTGCATTTCTTAAAATAAACCATTATGTGATGTTCATTCCATGAGTAAAAGCCTGTATTTGTCTTCTGACCACATCTGATTTGCCATGAACTGTGTGTAACGGAGCACATCCCACTTTGCAATGAGACGCACTTTGCAAGAAACCTACTGCCTTGATCCACATCATGTTTATTGCCTTTCAGTAATTTTATTTCTGGACGATATTCTCCAAATCTATGTTTTAATGCAGTATCTTGTTTATTTCTTTCAAATGTATGAGGGATTATCCAGTGAAGCAGGATGCCAGTCTGCAGGGAACTAATTTTTGTAATAAGTCAGAGCAGCTACACTATCAGTAAAGGCTAGACCATTTTATGGTACAACTAGTTCACCGTGCCCTGCTAACATCTACATTTATTGTGAAATCTCTCTTTCTAAGGAGCAAAAGGGTAAAATACCGTTATGTGAGGAAAAAATATTACTACACCCATCAGTTTCTAAAATAGAGCTTATGCTGTCTGACTGTCCCCGTCAAAGCACTGTGTACAAAGTTGTGGCATAGAAATTATGGCTTAAAAAGCCTTTTTTTCTCTGTTACTGTGACCTTTGGTGGCCTCTGTTTCTTGTATGTTGTCTGATGGAGTTGTAAATTATTTGAGAAACATACTGTATTTGAGGTCTTGCCTGGAAACTACTTAACACTGCATAATATGTATGTAAAACTTGATTATATGTGTATGTATTACATGTGCCAAGATAGTGCCAGGATTTCTGATGTGCCAGTCTCTGAAGGCCCTGGACTGTCAGGGTCAGGAGGCTTTCTCTGTGGGTGGATTGGACGAAGGTCCCAACTTCTCTTTTATTTGATCTGATATATCCTATTAACTTATTGCAGAGAACAGAAGGAATATCAGACTTTTTCCAAAATATAAAAATTTATATGTAAATAAATTTATGGATTCTCTTTTTAGGGTTGCTCATGTTTCTGTTTCTGCTGTTTCAGCTGACTTGAACAATGTACGCTTCTCTGCCTACCGGACGGCCATCAAAATCCGAAGACTGCAGAAAGCACTGTGCTGTGAGTTTGGCCTTCGAGACAAACTCTTTCTCAACAGTACTTGGGGAAGGGAGGGTCAGCTTAAGCCTGATTACATTAATGATTAACAAGGAACCGGATACATCCTTGACAAATTGTCAGCCAAAAAAAATGGCAGGAAGAATTCCCAAAAGTAGGTCTTATAATTGCAAATAAATAAAATCAATTAATGAAAAACAAAGTGATGCAGCAGGTAAGTTGAAATGGTATGCCCACTTAGAATACTTTGAGAAGTGTTAGAAAAATAAATATTGAACCTCTTGACTATTGCATACTGTTCTTGATACAAACCAGAGTGAAATGATGAGCTACAATCCTGACCTTTGACATAAACTCAGATTGGAGTTCTGTTCCATTTTTTTTTTGTGTTTATTACTGCTAGGTAACTTTGAAAATATTCCTCCCTCACAAAGATAATATCTTTGTGATATTATATATTATTATAAATTATTATAAATAATAATTGCTCTGTGAATTCCAGTTAAAGAGGAGTTCAGGCTGCCCAAAGGGTGAGGGGAAAGGGTACAGAACTGTGTAACTGGTTATGGGTAGTTGGTATTGCTGTACATTTTAATTATAAAAAGGTACTCTGACAAACAAGCTATTGTTACTGGCAGTAATAGTATGTGTATATATATTGGAGGTGTGGGGAAGGGTTCAGCAAGACTGAAGAGCATTATGAGCTTTCTGTTTATCAGTGTGCAGGGCATAAACTGTGCATCAACGTGTACCTGAAAACCAATAGCAAAGCAAGAAACCTGAAAGCAAATTAAAATTCTTCTTGTGTGTGCTGCTCCCCAGGGAAGAGTGAAAAAACAGCCTGCACATGATGGATGCTAATCATGCTGCCTGTTTCTGGCAGGCATACAGATCGTCTAGTGACCTGTCTAGAACAAACTTCACTTTCATTACTTCTAATAAGCTTTGAGGAGGATCATACCTTCTACTCTTGCTTTTACAGCAAATTATATCAATTTCTGTAATAACTGCACTGGTTAGCTCTCCTCATTCACAGATTTCAAATGCATTCCCTTATCAAAGTGAATGTTGTCTTCAGTTTCAATGGAAGGAGGTAGAAAGATGACAGAGGGAAGTAGCAGGAAATAAGGAGAATATTCCAATTTAAAAGAGCCAGGAGTAAAACTGTCATCTCTACAGATCACATGTGCCACCTTATTTATGAAGCTGTTTGCTTGCATCTCTCAGTCTCATGGGAGGAGATAGCAACCAAAAAAAAATCTTTGACCAAGGATTGGTGTAATTTGTGAGAACACAACATTATGGAGTTTTTAAGAAAGTCATTAGAGATTATGCACAAAACTAAAAGCTACAAGAATTTTATGTCTGTGAACAGAAACTCATGATCTCACATAATTTTAAAGCCACCTTCAAAAATATAACCCATACTGTTCCTCTTGTCATTGTTTGTTTAGCAGATTATTTCTTGCCAGGGAACAGGTCAAATTCCCTTTGAGTGTGGTAATTCTCAGCCTGTTTCTGTCCCGTGGTTAACTGCTGAGATAGCCGAAACACAGCGTGTGCTAACACCTCCTTTCTGAGGAAGGAGAAAGTGGTTAAGCCCTATCTAGAATTCTTTTCTGGACTTCTTTTTTGTGGAGG